CTAGATGAGTCGATAAAAAGTCTCCATTCTTGAGGATGATGTTCAGTATCTAATTATTCAATTAGTTCATCAATACTTGTACAGAAACACAGAGTCCACTCGTCTTCCTTGCATCATATCCGTCATTAACATTTGTACAGAAACACAAAGTCCGCTCTTCTTCCTTGCATCATATCCGCCATCAATATTTGTACAGTAACTCAAAGTCCGCTCTTCTTCCTTGCATCATATCCGCCATCAATATTTGTACAGAAACACAAAGTCCGCTCTTCTTCCTTGCATCATATCCGCCATCAATATTTGTACAGAAACACAAAGTCCGCTCGTCTTCCTTGCATCATATCCGCCATCAATATTTGTACAGAAACACAAAGTCCGCTCTTCTTCCTTGCATCATATCCGCCATCAATATTTGTACAGAAACACAAAGTCCGCTCTTCTTCCTTGCATCATATCCGCGATATAATCAAATTCTGCAAAACTTTGTTTTAAAATCTTTTAAACTCTGGATCTGTAAACATAAGTTCTTTTATATTCTTTTAGAAAATGATCTGAAATGCTGCCTCCAGTTCATGGAAGGTGAGGTACTGGTTTCCTTGCAGATGGAAGATCTGGATATTTGATTTAGTTTTGCCTGAATATTCAGAAACATTAGTTATGCAAAAATAAGAGTCAGTTAGATGATCTTTGGGTTCACGCCATATCATGGGAAATGCAAATGGAATATTTACTCTCTTATTATTCAGCCATTGTGTCAAGCCAGATGTGCAAACTGTACACACACACACACACACACACATGTGGAGCCCAACGTTTTTATTGGTCACCAATTTTGCACCATAAATAGTGCTAGGTAGCTACCTTTACCTTGTTTGTGATGCTCTTTCCTTCGAAAAAATGTAATATAATTTCCACAAATTTAGCAGAAACTGTTTGGGTGATTTTTGCACTTTCGGACGTTACTTGAACTGCAAGCAGCCAGCATTTCAAATGATTTTCTAAAAATAAAATAAAAAATAAAGTTCACAGAACTAGTTTAAAATATTTTAAAAAGTTCTACAGCATTTGATTATAACGAGGGTATAATGCCAGGAAGAAAATCGGACTTATTTTACTGTACACGGACGAAGTGACCAACTGAGTGAGTGAGAGGCGTCTGACTTCGCTCCTTTTATGCTCAGTTGGGGGACTTCTCGAATGTTGTAGTAAACTGAGCACGTGAGGGTTTCGTGATTTTAGGGCAGAGCAGGTGAGCGTGGGAATAAAGCAAAAGTGGTGTAGTTTCTCTTCAATTATATCGAGAACAAATTGTATATATGAATTATATATTTGGTATATTACACCAATACAATACAGTCAATATTTGAAGTTATCTAAAATGTATCCCTTTTACTCATTAAACTGTCCGAGTAAACTTAATTTCACAGCATAAATCTATTGTTCTGGGTTGATTGCACGGTATTTCGCAGAGTACTGATAAAATATCGAGATATTACAGTAACTCAAAATCCAGATAGGATGGACAAATTCTGATTACAACTTTGAAATCATCCCCATCAAATTACCTCGAATCATTTGAGTGTTTTTCAGTAGTAAATTTTTTGTTGTCCAATGTTATAAGTGCAGTAAGTTAAGATTATTACATAGGCTTGTACTGAGATTAGACTTTTTTCAGACAATATTTTAGCACTCATTGCTGGTAAATAAGCACTACATACCTGTACACTTGTGAGCGTGGTATACTGATAGGCCTTGACCATTAGATAGTTGGCTTCGACATCTGCAGCGGCCACTAAAAAGTACTTCCAGCCCCTTCTTCTAAGCACTGGAATAAGTCCACCATCTCCTGCTCTACAAGCGAGCCACGTGGTGAACACCGTACACAGGAGCACATAGTTGAGGAAGCTCTGAGCTTGGAAATGACAAAACAACTCTGATACACGTGAATTATCACCAGTTAAGAAGAACGAAACAATATTACATATACAGATTAGAGCCAATAATAATAATACACTTAACGATAGACATAATACACTAACAATAGACACAATACACAAAACAATAGACATAATACACAAAACAATAGACATAATACATTAAATAATAGATACAATGCACTAAACAATAGACATAATACACTAAACAATAGACATAATACACAAAACAATAGACATAATACACTAAATAATAGATACAATCCACTAAACAATAGACATAATACACTAAGCAAAAGACATAACACACTAAATAATAGATACGATGCACTAAACAATAGACATAATACACCAAACAATAGATATAATACACTAAACAATAGACATAATACACTAAATAATAGACATAATACACTAAATAATAGACATAATACACTAAATAATAGACATAATACACAAAACAATAGACATAATACACAAAACAAAAGCCATAACACACTAAATAATAGATACAATGCACTAAACAATAGAAATAATATACTAGACAATAGAAATAATAAGTAAATAACAGACATAATAGACATAATAACTAAACAATAGACATAATACACCAAACAATAGACATAATAGACATAATAACTAAACAATAGACATAATACACCAAACAATAGACATAATAACTAAACAATAGACATAATACACCAAACAATAGACATAATACACTAAACAATAGACATAATAACTAAACAATAGACATAATACACCGAACAATAGACATAATAACTAAACAATAGACATAATACACCAAACAATAGACATAATAACTAAACAATAGACATAATAACTAAACAATAGACATAATACATTAAATAATAGATACAATGCACTAAACAATAGAAATAATATACTAGACAATAGAAATAATAACTATATAATAGACATAATACACTAAATAATAGATACAATACACTAAATAATAGACATAATGCACAAAACAATAGACATAATAACTAAACAATAGACATAATATACCAAACACTAGACATAATACACTAAACAATAGACATAATACACTAAAAAATAGACATAATACACCAAACAATAGACACAATGCACTAAACAATAGACATAATACACTAAACAATAGACATAATACACCAAACAATAGACATAATACACTAAATAATAGTGTATTATGTCTATTGTTTAGTGTATTATGTCTATTGTTTAGTGTATTATGTCTAAATAATAGACATAATGCACAAAACAATAGACACTTAAACTAAAAATTATACCATAAATAAAGTCACTTAAACAAAAATTAAATCAGAAATAAAGTCACTTAAACTAAAAATTAAACCAGAAATAAAGTTACTTAAACTAAAATTAAATCAGAAATAAAGTCACTTAAACTAAAAATTAAACCAGAAATAAAGTCACTTAAACTAAAAATTAAACCAGAAATAAAGTCACTTAAACTAAACATTAAACCAGATTTAAAGCACTTAAGCGAAAATTAAAACAAAATGAAGTAATTTAAACTAGAAATTAAACCAAAAATAAACCCACCTAGACTAAAAATGAAACCAGAAATAAAGCCACTTAAGCTAAAAGTTAAAGCAGAAATAACGTTCTTTAAATTACATATTAAACAGAAATACGTTTAAAAAAATGGTTTTATTGGTTTTTAAAAGTCTTGAGCAAATTTACGAAGATGAAAGTGAATATCGTATATCATTGTTGAGGAAAAAAAACTTTGATAGTGATTTCATTCTGAGGACGAAAGTGAATGTCAGAAGTAAATGTGGAAGAATAAGACACTTTTCTAGGGATCGTTTCAGGGCTACATTTGCCAGAAAACAAAATAGTATATAGATGGAGTCTCCTAAATAGCAATGAAATGTCGACTGCCGATGTAGGTTTTTCCTTTACTGCAGAGGCCCGGCATGGCCAGGTGGTTAAGACGTTCGACTCGCAATCTGAGGGTCGCGGGTTCGAATCCCCGTCACACCAAACATGCTCGCCCTTTCAGCCGTGGGTGCGTTATAATGTGAC